GTACACAATGGAATATTACTCTCCTATATATGAGAAATGCAAAATATAAACAAAGAGTAAAATTAAAGATAGATAATAGGAAACAAGGAGATAAATCTTTTGCAAATGGGATGAGGATTAAGAGACAGAGGGAACAGTACAAGAGGAGAGGGGGAAGGGATGAAAAAATTAAGGTGCGTTGAGTACCTGCAGCAATTATCTACAGGAATAAAAAGAAGGGAGAAATAAGGACATGCTAGGTGATCCGAACTGTTTACAAATTTGCAATGGAAGACATTTGAACCATCTACAAATATGAAGAATAAAACAACCGTAAATTTAATATTGAGAGATAATAACAAATAAAAATGAAAAGTATAGGAAGTAGTGGCCTTTGCAGAATGCAAATCAGGGAAACACTTACGTAGTTGTCATTGGGATTTAAAGAATATACGTGAATGAATTACTGCTAGATAAAGAAAACACAAAGAAAAATTTAAAACATAGCGAGACTTAAATGACCCTAGGATATGCCTCATTCTTTATTTATAAAGCTTCATAAGCCATTTCACATTGCCAGACATTGCTGCTGCCTAGGCTCAAAGTTGGAAATTAAAGGCTTTAGGATAGCAATTACTTACAGTAATGTGAACTGCATTAGATGTAATGAGAGAGTTTATTTTCTGAGTGGAAATTGGACAAATGCCCAGAAATATTTCTATATGAGTGCATGTATCAACGTTCTCTGTTCTCTGATTTGCCCACAATCCCTGTGTAGGGAATCACATGGTCTATGTAACTTCTTGATAAGTGACACTTGTCCACCAGGTTTTATTCCAGGTGCAGTAGGCATCTCTGGAGTTAGGGGACTGAGAAGATTCCTCTGGTGTCAGCAGTCCTACAAAGACTTTTCCCCTTCAACACAGATCAGCTTGCTAACTCCAGATAGAAGAATGCAAGAAGGGTAAGTGTATATAACACTGTATTCCTTATTTTCAAAGCTTTTGAATTTTCATCTAGGTTCACAATCTTCTGTTTCTACTTTTGGGTGTTAGAGATAGGGAGTCATGGATCTTCCTTCAAAGAAAGGGAGAAGACATGAGGCTTTCATCTGAAAAGTGGGTGCTGGCAGTGTCAAATGTGGTTGTTCGTAATAGGGTTCTCTAAGTGATTCCCCATTTGATCCATCTCCCTATTCCTCCTCATCATTTCAACCACTCAGATCTGCAGTCATAGAAGAAATTATGCTTTCTTCTTAATTCAAAGAGCAAGGTTATGTGTAAGCATTTTGCTCAAGAACTGAGGATTCTGAAACCTAGTTTCACTGATTTATTTGCTTCCAAAGTTATTCTCCTTCATATACTTGTGAAGATACCCAAAGGAAAAGCTTATCCCAAACTGAAATAATTCAGAAGTATTTCTTTAATTGACAATTTACAAAGAAAGACAGAATTAAGGGAAATTGATAATCCATGGGATAGTACCCTAAAGCAAGCAGCAGAGAAGCAGTATATCTGGCCCTACAGTGATAAAGACAAGGGATGGAATAGTTTCTAGAAAGACTGACCACAGACTGGCATTGACTAGTCATACTGCCAGTGCCAGTTTTAACAATAGGAGAGGATGACCAGTAGGTGAGGAGGCACTTATGTCCAACTCACAATCTCAAAAGCAGAGAGCTCATAAAGAGCAAAATAGAAGATAGACAATAGGAAATGGGGAGATAAATCTAAAATCCCTCTCCTTATGCCCTCCAGCATCCAGGTAGTGTTTCCTAGTGGTTCTAAAACCATAAAAACTGTTTAATTTATGCAAAATAAACTGTTTGGGGTGGTAATAAAATTTCTAGTTTTCCAAACATATTTTCTTCAATCCAGCAAAAGCTATACAATGTTGGCTCTGCAAAGAGATCACGATAGATACATTCACTTCTTTTTTTTTTTTTTTTTTTTTTCTTTTTTTGGTACTGGGAATCAAACTCAGGACCTTGCACTTGCCAGGCAAGCACTTGGGCCACTGAGCTATATCCCCGCCCCACATTCTCTTCTGATGTCCCTCTGCAACACAAGAGGAGGATGCATCCTCCTTCCAGCTGGAGAGGCCTTTTTCTAAGCAAGTCATCAGGATCCCAGTGCCATGACTACTTTTGAAAGAAGAGGGCTTCTGGATTTTTGCTATCTATTCCTATTTAGCTTCCACACACAACTCACCCTACCCCCACCATTTTATTGTCTTCCCTTTTTCTCTAGTGTTTATTCTTCTAGATTTTACTCAAGCCAAAATTTTGATGGCTAACTTGGATTTAACTTGGAAATTACTCCTCTTTTTTGCCCTCCTGTATTTGTAATTAACAGCTCTCTGGTGCTGAGTTTTTTGGTCAAATGGATGGGTAGTGAGCAGCACTGCTAGATTCAGTTCACAGTGTGAGACCATAATAAATCATTCATTCTCTGTGTTCCAATTCTATCTCTGGTAAAATTGAAGTAATATGCTCATCCTATAGGTGGTATTTCAGAAGATTCAAAGGGACAATGTATCTCTCAATCAGTTGTTAACAGTCACTCAGCTATAAACTGGTCCTCTTGTTCCAGATAAAATCTACATGACCATTTTTTTTTCACATTTCATGCCTTCCATGTTGATTTCCTTTCAAAGATTCCACTCATATAAAGCATTTATGTAAAAAATAGAATGGAAATCTCCAGGGAGATAATATGGAGTGCATTTACAATACACATCCCACAGCACATCACTTAGTAGTCTTCCTCTGAATACTTTTATAGGTCAAATACTTCATTAAAGTGGCTGTCTGACCTCAGTCTCACTTACTTTTTTGTCTTTTATATACTGGGCATTTCAGTTTGAACTCAACTCCTACCACCACACTGTACATTAAAAGGCTTCTTTGTGCTGAAAGCCACTCTGTGAACTCAATTTATGAATACACATCAGTAGTCAACCATTTGTTTGTGTTCCAAGGGCACCAGTGGGGAGCTTCTGAACATGAGTGAAACCACAGCAGCTGATGGCACAGAACCCGCAACAATGAATTGGAGTGTGCTGGATGGTACACTTTCTGGGATTCTGACGACTGTGCCACTGCTGACTGATTTGGTCAAATCTAAGTAATTCTTTTAAACATTGTACTCTCCTCAAAAATAACTGTGATAAATGAAATTCTTTCATCTTCTTTTAACCAAGCATTCTAATATCTTTAATTGGGTTTCCATTTTTTATTTTTCCATTTGATCCAAATTTTCTACTACCCTTGTATTCTTCCTTCATACATTCATTCACCGAATTACTATTCAGAACACAGTATGTTATACTCTACATTACATTCTGGGAAACAGAAATCCTCCATCTTTTCATGGCCATTTCAAACCCACCATGACCAGCCATCATCATAACTACAGTAGTAAGAGACTACATTCCTTTGACATTCCCATCACCTCTCCCATATAGATAGACAATTCTGGTCATGAGTTTAGTCTTGTTCATCTGTGTGTTTTGCAATGCCTCATCTAGTGATAGTTTTTGAGAGTTTAAGAGTTCTCAGCTAGTAGAAGAAAACTCGTGCTCTAATTTAGCATTTCACCTTGCACCTGTTTGAAATTTGTTCTACAAAATCTTGATAATGGGAAAATCTTGTTTTAACATGCTTTTACACATGTGAAAGAATACTGCACATCAACTTCAGACATTCTGAAGAGTACAGAAGAGGAGATGCAGTTTCTGCATTTATGTCCATCTATAATGTTCTACTTATTCTTTTCTAAAGAACAGCTGGAAACAAATATGAAAGTTTTTAAGCCACAGTTTTTAAAGGGTATATGTTCTGAGAAATGTGTCCTCAGAAAATTCATTAATGTGTGAAATTCTAGAAGACAGTGTAGCCTACCACACTAATAGGTTATCCAGGGTGTGTGTATATATGTGTACGTATATTCTATTATTCCTGGGGCCATTATAAACAAAACAACATGACATTGCATCAAGCTCTACCAAAAATTATGCAAAGGATTCTATAAACATATGTGACTTCTCCCAGCATGCATGGGTGGTCTGCACTGCCGATATTCTCAGTGGACTTTCCAAGCATTTTCCATTCTGACCCATCTCCATGAATTCTTCCCTTTATTTGAACTTCACTATGCTTCCTGCTAAATTCATTTAAAGACAAAGGTGACATGCAAACATTGCATGTCAGAGCCAAACTACAGAAACATGACTTTCATTGTTTTACTTCCTTTTCAAAGTTATTCTCATTCACATATTTGAGAAACTACTGGAAGGAATAGCCCAAACAGAAATAACTCACGAGTACTCAGTTTACAGGTTACAGTTATAGCAGAATTAAGGCAAATTGACAATGCATGACAGAGGACCCAAAAGGAAGTAATATGGAGGAATATACCCACCTACACTTACAGGGAGACAGGGCACAGCAATAGCTACAGCTGTAGAAGTAGAAGTACAAGGGCAGGCAGGGTGAGAAGCATTGCCATAGCCAACTACAGTGTCACAATCCAAGAGACAGAAGGTGAAAAACCCAAATAAGTCTACATGCTCTCCATCCACTGGTGCAGTCTCCCAGTGGTTTTAAAATCACATGTGCTAACTGAAGTCCCCAGCATGGGAACAACAGAGATCATAGACTGGAATATTTTAGATACTGTCAATAGAGGACATGTTCAGCAGCAGAGAGAATCCAGTATTTAGAGTCAATAAAACCTAAGTTTGAGTCCAGGTTCTCTGAGATGACTTAAGCTCTGTAAGTTTCAGTTTCCACCCATGATACTAAGCCTGGTGGTGCATACCTGTAATCCCAGCTCTTGGGAGGCTGAGGCAGGAGAACGGCTGCAAGTTGGAGATCAGCCTGCACTACAAAGTGATCTCAAAACTAGCCTAAACTGCATAACAAGACTCTGTCTCAAAAAGACAAAAAAAATTCAGTTACCTCCCAAGAAACACAGGGACAATAATTTCTGAGTATCAAAGTGATCCTGAGAATATAGAATATGCAGCAGGTTTTCAACATTATTTGTGTTCCCAGGAACACCAGTGGAGAACTTCTGAGCATGAATCAAAGCATCCTGCCCAATGGTACAGAATTAACAAGAATGGATGAATTTTCATCTGTCTACATAGTGTTCAAGATCCAACAATTGCTGACAGTCATCTTTGCCCTGATAGGGCTGCCTGGAAATGCGGCTGTGATCTGGCTCCTGGGAATTCAAAGGCACAAGAAGCCCATCTCAGTCTATATCCTCCACCTGGCCACATCGGACTTCCTTTTCCTCTGTTGCCTCCTTACATTCTACCTGTGGAAACTTATTGACAGGTTTCGCTTCAACTACTACATCTACATATACGCTGTGGGGATGATTTTCTACGTGACCAGCCTGCTCATGCTCAGTGCCATCAGCACTGAACGCTGCCTGGCAGTTCTGTTCCCCATCTGGTATCACTGCCACCGGCCAAGACATATGTCAGCTGTCTTGTGTTCCCTGTTCTGGGCTCTATCCCTACTGCTTACTATCCTGCTACACATCGGAAATGTTAAACTGTATATGGGAATGCATTTATTCATCACTTCATTGGTAGTCATTTTATCTGTGCTGCTCTGTGGGTCCAACCTGGTCTTGCTGGTGAGGATGCTCTGTGGCTCCACAAGGTTGCCACTGACCAGGCTGTATGTGACCATTGGACTCACAGTGCTGGTCTTCCTCCTCTGTAGCCTGCCTCTATATATCATGTCACTCTGGGGTAACATGATTTTTTATACAATGGATGATTTTAATTATATGGTACTTTGGGGGATGGCTTATTTGCTGTCTAGTGTCAACAGCAGTGCCAACCCCATTATTTACTTCTTTGTTGGTTCTTTTAGACAGAAACAGCATCAAGGACACCAGTGCTGGTCCCTGAAGGCTGTTCTTCAGAAGGCCTTGGAGGATGAAGGTGAAGGGGAGAAAAGTAGAGAAAGGCTTCCTCAAGAAAGTGTGGAGATGTCATAATCTGTGGGGAGCAGCTGAGCAGGAGGTCACTGAACTCCTCAGGACTAGAGCAAAGCCAGTCCCAGGAACCTAGAATGCCAGAGGCAGACCATGTAAATAAGGTAACCTCTAGCTCAGTTGCACATCACCAGGTGTCTGCCCTTGGTGTTCCTCCTGGTAACTACAGCACAGATAACACTGAAAATGTTTCACTTTCAGTGTTCTCAGCAAAACACTGAGACCTTGCACTTTTGACCCTATCATGTGCTTCCCCCCTTTTTTACTTTGCATAAATACAGACACGGAGGCCAGCACAGCTGTCCCTGCTTCTCCATCAGAGGGCTGCATCCCACCCAGTCCCAGCTTTCCTGGTCACAGCAAAAATCCTCTTCAATATACTAATTCTGTACCTACCGTGGTTCACTCAGAGAAGCTGTTCCTTTAGAAGATTACTTGCATAAATGTGAAAGGTCACATCCTTATATGGATATAAAAAGGCATAAATATATAGATAAAGATAGAAATAGAGACATAGGCCTATTTATATGTGTACTGCCTGTAGTAATTTTCAAATACAATAGCAGAGTTGAATATTTGTAACAGAGACCATATTAGTACAAAGATTAAAATATTTAATAATTTCTCATATCTCTCCTCTTTGTGTGTGTGCTCACAAATGTGCACACAAAAGATCTTCATCTTACAAAGATCTAAGTTCTGTTCTGTTTATGTTTTCTGGGGAAAGCTGTTATCTATTTGCCTCTGCAGTGTCAAGAAACACAAATCAAGACCCATGGGATCCAGCAAACTCATCTACCTGTGCTCTAGCTGCCAGCAAGGCTTGATGAAATCAGGGTTCTTCCTGTGAAGTTGGTTTCCTTCTTTATGTAGAGAAAACACACTGCAGAAGGCAGTCAAACAAGTCAAGGTTTTACAAAGAGCATGTGGGGCTGTTGAGGACCAGCTGTTGACTCTTGTGAAGAGGCACCTGACAGGGAAGCAACAACATGCATGAGTATCCTAGAATATGTGCACCAAAGATAGCAAATAAATTCTAAATGGCTGCTGCTTGGAATCCAATGATCATGTACAATGTAGCCAGAAATTTAAAGGGTACAAAATCTGGAATTGTAGTTCAGCCTAGATAAGTTGACACTTTCAAGTAATTGCAACATATTCCTTTTCACTGTGTAAACTATGTTGAAAAGTAATAATACAAAAAAAATTCACCTTGCCAATATTCATAATATATCACTGTATGATGCAGTGGATTGACCACTGGTGATCAACTTGTGAGGCTCAGTTGAAATGAACCAGCATGGTGCTGGGTGTGGGAGGCCCACCTGAGGATGCTTGACAAAAAAAATAAGAAGAGGAACTGGAGATGAAGAAGTTTCAAAGCTGTTCAGAGCTATAGGAAGCTATGAGCTGTGAGAACCAACACTTCCCTCATAGCTGACTGTCCCTCAGACAAAGGTCTTTTATCTAGATCATATAAAGAATTAAAAAACATCAGCCCCCCCAAATTCAAAGACCCAATCCAAAAATGGGCAGCTGAGATGAACATACACTTCTCAGATAAAGAAATACAAATGACAAATAAATACATGAGAAAATTCAACATCATTAGTCATTCAAGAAATGTAAATTAAAACAACACTGAGATTCCACCTTATCCCAGTAAGAATGGCTAGCATTAAGAAATCTACCAATAACACATGCTGGTGAGGTTGTGGAGAAATAGGAACCCTTCTCCACTACTGGTGGGAATGCAGACTGGTGAAACCACTGTGGAAATCAGTTTGGAGATTCCTCAGAAAACTAGGTCTAGAGGTCCCACTCAACCCAGCTA